TAATCTGGATTGAGAAGGGTAGTTGGAACAAAAATTAAAACGGGTAGGTGTAAGATAAATCTAATTGATGAAGTGCAGGACAGATGTGTTTTTAGGTAATGTGCAGATTTAAATATCTTTTGTATTTGCACTAACATCTCCTGAACTAATAATTTTATGCTCTGTTGAAGATGTATTTCTCAATTTAAGGGTTGATGTTCAAATTCTTTCCCTTACAATATAATTCGTTTTTTAAAAAAATAACTTTGGTTTTTGAACTAAATTTTTATATTCAATCATTTATTTTCAAGTTTTAGTAATTTAATTTAATTTAATTAATCAAGAATTTGATTCTTACCAATAAATTGAAAAAATTCTTCAATTTTAATAGTTTTTTCATGTTAAAAAAATATTTTTTGTATTTATATTAATAAATTTTATTTTTATTAATAAAAAATATTATTATTAAATTATTTAAATTATTACTAATATTTAATTTAAATTATTTACAAATTTAACACATAAATCTTAAATTTAATTTATAAAATAATATTTATTAATTAATGAGGTTAAATCATCAATAAACTATAATTAATTTTAAGCATCACTTATCGATACTGAGTGCCAATTAAATAATTTACGTGGTGACATATTTTCCATGGAGACTTTTCCAAGCACGTGCCTAGAACAAAAACATTAGAGTTCATTTGCCTATAAAAAAAATCCATCTTCTGCTTTTCTGCAGACACAAGATAACCAAACCATCTACGATGGCTTCCGCAGCTACAGCCTTCACCACTCTTCTCTTGATTTCCTCTCTCTTAGCTTCTCCCTTCTTTTGGGTCTCAAAAGCAGATCAGACCGCTTTCCCCATAGTTAAGGGCCTCTCATGGACCTTCTACAAATCCAGCTGCCCCAAAGTCGAATCCATAATCAGAAAGCACCTCAAGAAGGTGTTCAACGAGGACATCGGCCAGGCTGCCGGCTTGCTCCGTCTCCACTTCCATGACTGCTTTGTTAAGGTAGCAATTAAACTTTAATTTATGAGTTTAATTAACATCCTTAATTGTATAGTTAATCATTGTTTTTCCATGGCGTCAATTAAATAATCAACCTTAGAACCCTTGTTTATATATTTAACCCATCTTCTCTTTCCTTTTTTTTTTTTTACAAATTTACAATAGCTAATTTAAGAAGCTAATTTTTTTATACAAGTATTGTTTTAAAGCAATTGATTTTTTAAAATTTATTTTGGTTTTTAAAGCAATTGTGATGCTATTAAAATCTTGTGGTTTGTTAGGCAAAAAAATACTGTCGTTGAAAATTGAAGTAATTTACAGGGATGTGATGCTTCGGTGCTGCTGGATGGTTCAGCGAGTGGGCCAAGCGAGCAGCAGGCAACGCCGAACTTGACCTTGAGGAAAAAGGCGTTCGAGATCATCAATGACCTGCGGGAGCGCATCCACAAGGAGTGCGGAAGAGTTGTCTCCTGCGCCGATATCGTGGCACTTGCTGCTCGCGACTCTGTTTTCTTGGTAAATATTTGCCCCCTTTTTTTTTTTTTTTTTGGCCATTTTCACCTAAGAACTGTTCAAGTTTTCTCCAATTATTTCAAAAAAAAAAAGTGCAGGATATTTTTTAGATAAAAATGGGATTTTTTATATGAATATAAGAAAGAAAATGGATGTAAGAAAAGTTGTGACTAATTGAGTGTAATTTAAAAAATTTTGAATTTAAAATTGATGTCATGTGATTAGGTAGATTAAAAGATAAAAAGTTATTTTTAATTGTGTAATTTAATATTTTATTTAAAAGAAAGGGGATGAGAGTGCGCACCCAAATTTGGAGGATATCATAGTCTATGTTGAAAATCTTGCACAAGCTACAAATTTTTTTCCTGTTTTTCATCGCATTCACACTAATTTTTTTTATTAGCATTAAAAGTTTTGTTTTGAAGTCGAAAGAAATTTCCTAGACTTTCCTAATTAAATTAATATTTTTGTTTGGAAAATAATTAAAAAATAATTTTTATATTATTTTATATTATTTATATATTATTTAAATAAAAAATAA